GTCTGTTCCTCAACATGTTCAAGCTTCTTTGACAGATGTGTTGTTCATTTTTTCAAGCCCAAAGATGCAGTCAAGAGAGATCTGATAATAGATGAATACATTGGAAGTGGTGAAGACCGTGTGAAAAACAGAGGTGGATTGACTGAGATGATTGGAGATTTTATGTTTAACATTCCAGCCATTATAGCTGCAAATGCTCACAGAGGTATTGTTTTATACAAGATTCTGAAAATGTAAAAAGTAATATTTAATATTTACAGTCACACATGTTAAATGTCCCACCTATTTGTCTACCAGACGCAGGCGCCACTGTATACCTGTATGAGTACCAGCATCCTCCCAGTATGCTGCAGAAAAAAAGGCCTAGCTTTGTTGGAAGTGACCATGGAGATGAAGTCCCGTTGGTGTTAGGATTGTGTTTCACAACTACCCATGTCAAATTAACTGGTAAGTGCAACAGACCACCAGATACCTCGGCTGTGTTTGTGATTTCTGGAATACAAAATGTTTTATTAGATTATCATCACTTCAGATTCATGCACTGAAGAGGAGAGGCAGCTGAGCAAAACCATGATGAGCTACTGGGGCAACTTTGCTCGCACAGGGTAGGAATTACTGCTCTTTATAAGTGATAGTATACATGGAGATAACACCAACTTGTTTATAAATGTGTATATGTGTGTGTAGGTCTCCTAACGAGGATGGCCTTGCCCACTGGCCAAAGTATGGAGCAACAGAGGAGTATCTGGCAATTGGTTTAAAGGATCAGGTAGTTGGTCGAGCCCTAAAGAAGGACCAGTTTGTGTTTATGACTGAGACTCTCCCAGAGATGATCCAACAACATAATGAGAATATGGAGCACAGCAAGCTATAAAACATTCACAACTCTGTTCCGTTGGTTTCATTACCTGAAAATAACCACAATTAAGTGAGCCAACATGCCTTATACATGCTGTGTTAAACTTGTGTAATTTTAAGATTTAAAAAAATGGAAGCACTTTAAATGTACTTTCTGTAGGTTATGCAAAGTGCCATACACTCTACTCGATCTTGAATGATTTTAAAATCCATGACTAAACTTAGGAAAGTGAGCGATGGACATCATGGAGAGCTAAAACCTAAATACATTTTCCAGACACATCATTTTGAATGCAGAGAGCTTCAGGGACTATTTCCCTGCCTGTTGTTTTGTTAGTATATTTAGTATCTGTTGAATGATCTGGATTTGAATATTTAATGAAAATGTCAGCCTGAAGATGTTCATTAGCTTTTTTT